ACTGCTAAGGAATAGACAGATGTTGAGTTGAATGATCCACGAGTGGTGAAGATGCTGCAATCGTTCAGGTGGATCAGGTGTTCCTACGTCTACCAAGCGAATCCGGCCAATCACTTCCTCTTGAGTCTCAGAATCTTCTCTTAAATTTGATTGCATGCATTCTTGCTGACTTGAATCCTATCTGATGTTTTTTGATAAAACTTGCCATTGGTTGCTCAGAAGTGGGTCACGTGACAAGTGAGAAGCAGAGCCCGTCACCGCTGGACTTCTTGGGAGCCATCAGCGAGGCTGTAGTGTTGGAAAAGCAACTGGCCAAAGGAGGAGCTTCGAAAGCGCTCAAAGACCTGATCTTCAAGGTTTGCGCTTCTTACAATGCGCTGTGCACCATCCGAAAGCACAGAATAGACACTCAGCGGAAGGCGCTCATCTACAACTTGTGCCTTGGATCCGCGTGATTGCTGTTTTTGGGCTGCTCAAAATTCCTAGCCCTGATCGAAAGTGCACTCAGGATGCGTGCTCCCCGAGAAGTTGGTGCAAAATTGCATTCTCACTATGATAATTTCCCACCTACGGCTTCAGGCAAGGAAGTTTCATTTCAAATGTCATTTTCTATGGCGTGCTCAGCAGGTGTGCCATTGGAACTCCTTCAAGGAGATTTCTGGGTTCCAGGAGCCACTGTGCGAAGTGAAAAGGCTGCCAATCAGCAATGGAAAGAGATTCTGACCCCAAGTGGGTTCACTTGCATTTTGTGGGTGGGGCGGCTCATTAAGGACAGCAAAAATTGAACATCATTCCAGTTTGGAATGCGGTTGCTGAGCTCAAGTTTTCCGTTTGACCTTTCTCTTCAGGATTTTGAAAGAAAAGTTCAGCGTGACTCAAGCCTGAAGACCAAGGCCCTGCTTAGTTTCCTAGAAAAGAACTAATCTTAGTTTTCAATCCCTGTGCAGAAGCTGAATCAACTTGGAGAAGAACAAGCTGCCAACCTCCATGACATCGTGTGCCTATGGCATTGGGTAAAGGAGAGCAGCGAGTTCACGAAGGATATCGTTGACCATCGCCAGGAGCTGTTCGTGAAGGGGTGTCTGTGAGACAATGGGGGAGGGTGAATGGTTTAGATCTAGAATTTGGCTGACACTTTGTTTTCAAAGGGTGCTTAAACAAATTTGGCCGCCGCCAACATTTTCTAGGGACGTGTGATTGATTTTCAAAAAAATTTGGCTGGCGCCAAATTTTTCTGGGGAAGTGTGGTTGATTTGGAAAAAAATTGGCCGGCGCCAAATTTTTTTGGGAAAGTGTGATTGGTTCCCCAGAAACCCCGTCACAAATTCTGAGTTGGACTTGGCTGCCGCCAAATTCCCGGAGCATCCAAAACCAAGAAATATCAATCAAACCCACCATCCATTCCCAGCCTTGCAATTTGTGATTGGTTCCCGCCAGAACCCGTCACAATTCTAATGGTTTTCGAGGTAACCAATCATTCTTTGCTCTTATGGAATTAGATCTGCATGTGATTGATACCCACCAAAACCATGCTTTTTGTGATTGGTTCTCGTGAGAACCCGTCACACTTCAGAGAAACCCGACAGAGTCGCGAGTGTGATTGATTTTTTAATGTGTTTTTGTTATACTTGTTTTTTGGTAAACCCAGTTTCTTTCAGCCAAGGAGCTTGGACAATGATCTCGGGGATGTGATCAAGGCTGGCATCAACAATGCCTTCGATTGGGGCAGGAATCCATTCATACTTGAGGCACCAAGGGCAACACCACATGTGAATCAAAACGTCAGAGATCATTGAAACAACTAAAACGATCTAAAAGGAGTCTAGCATTGAACAGAGAACTCTGATTATGGGTCTACTTAGATTCAACACTTTGGATTGGGTTTGCATGCGCAACAAAAGCACCCCTGAAGATTCGTGGACAAGCGGTCGAAGAGTTCATTGCTTCTGCACAAGACCGGAGCCGGAACGCACATGAGAAGTCCATCCAAGCTGCATTTTTGTCGCGGGCAGAAAGTCTAAAGGCTGACCAAGTTCTTTTCGACTCAAATCGGCTTCTGCATCATGGCAGCAAGCAAACCACTGCTAAGTAGATTCGTACATTAGTTGTGAATCCCAATTCCCTGTTCTCAGAACCATTCATCAAACGTCTCCGGTTTTGTCGTCGATGCCTGCAATTGGCAAAGTTTGGAAGTGCATATTGGGCACGGGTCGAAATGCTTGTGGCATCTTGTGGCCATCCAAGGGGTGAGAAGGAAAGTGCAAAGCGAAGAAGCAAGTTGGTGAGTCAGCTTGAGGACCATCTCACTTTATTTAGAATAAACATGTCCGTTCGGGTTCAGAGTCTAATGTTACAACTTACAACAAACTAGCATCCAACATTATCCAACCCTGCAAGGCATTGCATACTCGTGCGCGGGAGCTCGTTGGTGACTATTTGAGGACAAACATGAGAGTCTTTTCTGGTAAGGCTGTGGAGGCGGAAAGCACTGTGCTTCCAAGCATCACGTCTTGGATCGAAGAGACACTACATGAGATCCCAGAAGTGAGGTCTTCAGAGGACCATGGACTGGTGATTTGGGTGAACCTACCATCCGCTGGGATTTTGACAGTGAACCGTTACGAGTACGTTGTGACTTCAGTCACAAACCTCCTGGCCATCTACCGCAAGAATGGCATCGCCTTGCTGATTCACCCGAATCGAGCCTCTCAGTACGCTGAAAGGACTCCATTTCAGGTCAGTCAAGTATCTTTAGTGACTTTAGTGCCAATATCTTGACCCTGTTATGAAGAGCAAGCACCCGCACAAACTTACCCTGCTACAAATTGACATGACAACCGACATTATTTTCACTTCACTTCATTTTGCATTGGCAGGAAGGTCAAGACTGAGACAAAGGATGAGTCTGGCGATGAAGATATGGGAAAGCAAGAAGATGGTGAAGGCTCCGATGATGGTGAACCAAAGACTGCAACAAAAGAGGAAGAGTCTGACCTCCGAGACATTAAGTACAAACTGGAGAACCTTGCCCTTTAGGTCATGTCATGCGAATTCTGTTCTCACTGGCAAGTTCTCTTATTGGTTTCTCATGGAGCCTTTCAGGAAAGACTTCAGCTTGAAGGAGCGGAATCTGCAAGTCCGGAATCTGACTTGGGTCTTTGATCCTGATACTTAGCTACTTTTTGGAGTAGTCATCATTCCCGAACCCTAAAACAAGCATTGATGTGAATGGAGTGTCCAATCCATTAGACCTGCCATCATCCAAGGACACCGTCTATGGCCGGAGGGAAGGAAGCCTCAATGGACTGGCGATCGTGCACAACGACCGTCAGAGCCACTTTTTGGCGTCCAAGCGGTTCAAGTTGGGTGTTGTGCGCAAAATCAAAATGTGCGCACGTTCCATGATGTACAAACCTTCGGCGCCTTGCTTCAGTAGGTGTGCAACATGTGAAAGATAGTCAAACAGGGTGTGACCATTTCCACAGTTTCCAACCCTTCTACTGTCACCGTTGCCAACTCTTCTTCCCCTCAGATTGTTCGCGTTCTACCCATGGCGCGCCTGTTTCGAAGGCATCTCCTTCCAAAGTAGGCCTGCCACACCTGGGACGCGCTATGACAGACGTGCAGGAACTCAAGCAGGTTTCTTGGTGGAAGCCACTAGCAAATTCATTTCTTGTTCTCAGAAGGTGAATCGTTCTTGTTATATTGGTGGGAAATTGTCAGTTTTGAGTCACTTCGCTAGAAAAGGACATATATTGGAATCCCCTACCCCAAAGCCATCTAAACCTGTTTGACATTGTTCGACTGATTTCCAAACAAGTTCCTACAAGGTGGCAGCTGGCACTGATATAATCAAACAGTCCCTGAACTGCTTTTGTCCCAGCACAATGGCAACCAGAGTCCTTGTTGACCTGATGAGCTATGATGGATTTCCAGGCCTAGCATCATTGGAAGCCACTTGTCCTGACTTATCATCCTTTCCCTTTTACTGTGTCATCGGATTCCAACAGCTTTCAAGATCCAATTGTGAAAAGTACCAATCAAACAATACAGTACAAAGAAACTTTGCAGCCTTCTTCCGATTCTGAGTGCCCCTGAGCTTGCTTCAGGCTTAAACATCGTTTGCGGCAGCGTTGTCCTGGACAGTGGGCCTCAAGAGCTCACACAGCGAATTTCCAACGCTGTGTACGAATCGTGCAGATCCGGGGCCATTCAACTGAGGGGATTCCCTGACTACGCCCCTCTCATCAAAGCCCTACGTGATGAGACAGCACCGAAGCAAGACGTGACCTACAAAGTCTGCGCAGCTAGGGGGAGAAGTTGGTGATTTTGAGGTCACTCGCACGGCGCTGGTTGGAACATGAAACCACGAAAGCTGATGCAGAAACCATGGTTCGTGAACACAATCAAAAGTTCTCCAATGACGATGGCTATCTGGAAGATGACGAGAGGACTTACTGTATTTGTTCATTTGGTTTGGAAACTGGAAATTGTGTTGTGGCCATTTTCCATTCCAATTATATAAAGATATTAGGAGAGATATTGTATAGTCCTAGAATTCTCAGGGTGAGTTCGAACACAATGAATCAATGCAATCATGCCATACAGTGCAAACACCCCTTGGCCCGTCATTGTGCTTCAGGACAGGGACAACTGAGGATCAGCGCCCGGTCAAAAAGATGAAGCTCAATCCAACGGACACCTGCGCAGAAGCGGATGTGTCATCCCTGGCCAACCCGCACCTTGCCCTTGGGTTCTTAGATGCCTTTCCCTAAGTCAGCGCTGTATCATATCTCGTTTATGCCCCAAACAGGGGTTGTCTCAGATGGATGTGGGTCAGCCAGGCAAAAGCTTGTCATCAACGGGGCTGCGGAGCTAGTTACAAATGGTGATCAACTATTTCTTATCAGCCGCAGCAAGAACAATTTTGCTATGCATCGAGAGATGTTTCTTGGCTGTTTGTCACGCAAGAAGTGCATGGTGTGCTTTTCCAAAACCTAATGACTTTTGGGCTCAGGTTTAGCTTTGGAAGTGGGGAGTGGAGAAATGGAGCTGACTCTTGGCTTTTGATTTCTCTGGGCCCAGTTGGTGCAAGGTTCATGTGGTCACTGTCATAAGGAAGCTCAAGAATTGACCCAAGATGCTGAAGGGAGATGGTTTTCATTCTCTGTGACTTTGTCCACCGTGGTCGTCATGGAGCGAAAGGGTATGGCTACCCACCTAGCATCTCTGCCATGTATTGAGACGCCATCAACTTTGGAAACGGTTTTGCGGGAGCTTGAGGACGCCGGAGAGGCTGGGCACCAAACAACAACCTGATCAGGTTCCAAAACACTTTGCTGTGTAGTGTATTATATTCTGTGTGTGCCCCTTGTGCCACACACACATGTTAACAGTGGAACAAAACACAAAACACAATATGCGCGAATTGATCGAAGCAGTCTTACAGCAACACCCATTCAACGCATTCACTATCCTTTGCTGTATATCACAAGAAGCTCTGTAGGTCAAGCTAGGCGTTTCGCATCACACCTTGACTGACGCCCGGGATGGGGTATCCTTGGACAAGACCTTGGTGTTTGCCTTGGACGCGCTTAAAGACGATGATGAAAAGAAGAAGAAAAAAGAAGAAGGACAAGTCTACGTTGACCAGCACCAGCTTTGGCTCTGTGCTGAACATCAGTTCTTTCAAGAACTGTGAGAAGCTTGCCATTGGATTTCGATGCAGGCTCACTTTCTCCTGTGTTCTATGTTTGACATTTGTTTTGTTATGTTGCTTTGCTTCTCAAAGGGTACTTAGTGATAGACTTGAAATTAAACCTTGCAGGCTTGATGCTGATGCCGCAAGTGGGTCAAAGGTCATCACCCCCATCCGGCCCATCGCTTGCCTTGGCGGCAGTGTCGAAATCGACAAAAGCATCGTCCGCCTCATGTAGGAGCAAATGCAGTAAGACTGGGTAGGTCCGGGTAGGTCAGTGATTTGATGCTGCTTGATGGGATGCTTTCGTGGGGCCATGTTTAGCATAAGAACACTTCCAAAAAACTTTATGGTTTGTTTGAGACCTGTTGCGTGGTATGAGTATGGTCCCTGCAAAGCTGTTTCAGCGGCATATTTTGGAATGACCAACAGGTCGTGTGAGCACGATGCAGTGACCCGGTACACCTGCACAAAAAGGATCTTGAGTTTAGTTGCTTGCACCGGTACATCTGTTCAAAGGAATCTTGAAGAACAGCTCTTTACAATCATGTGTCGCTTTAACATCACTTCTTCTCCCCTCAAAGTGGCTCAAATTTGAAATTGAAGGCTAGTGGCTAGATTCTGCCAGAGTTAGACGATAGGAGAAAGTGCGTTACAATGGCTAACCGTGCTACTCCGGGTTCTGCGTCTGATGATGTGGAAATCGTTAGTGAAAAATTTGCCTGGAAACCTCCAGCCCCTTGGCAAATTGGATTGGGATTGCAAACCTGAAACATCTCGAAGCATGTTGTTTCCATCACATCGTGCTGCGCCAACTACGCTATACTTGAAATGCCTGATGAGGACTTTGATCTCCAGTCCATCCTTGGATCTACTCCGCGACGGGAAACACAGTCAATTCCATCGCCTTTGCCAAAAGCGGCTTCTTCTCGAGCGGGTCCGCCTGTGCAAGAAGCAAGGGCACGTCCCAATGAGAGTGGAGGCCGAGAACGTCCAAGAAATTATGGTTGAACAGAAAGCACACACCCAGTTCGTTTTTTGTTTTCTTTGTGGGCAGGTCAGCCCCAGGCTGCTTCTTCGGCTGCACCAAATGCTTTTCAGGCTATTCCCCCTCGTGTACCCTCTTCAAATGAGGAATCCTCTTCAGAAAAGTTGCTCCTAAAAAGGCAACCAAGAACTCAAAAAAAAGGCTAAACCGTCCAAGAAGGATGAGGTGGCTCCGGATGATGATCATGCCCCACTGGGCCTGGGCTGTGACGATGACCAGGATGGTGATGATGCGGACCTGAAAGGATTGGATCAGTTGTTGAACTTGTCAGCAAAGAAGAAACCAGCAGCATCCAAAGGTGGCAAAGGTGGCCAGGGTGCCCCCAAAAGGAAAACGCAACGATCAAGTACGAAGACTGGAAAGCGAACGGATCTTTGGTTGTCAAGCTTTTGGTGATATGGAAATGGACTCCCAAATATAGACATTCTATTAGAGGATGCCCCACCACAATGATTTGTCCAAGGATATGGAATCTTTTGCTGAGAGACTTGAGTCAATTCCAGAAGAGTGTGACCAGTGTCTCGGGTGCAAAGCATAAACCAAGCTCTTCTAACTTCTAATCTGTCATACCTACATGTTCAATGTTCACAAAGCAGCATCCAAGGGAGCCCAGCAATCCAGACACAGCGCCCACTGAGTGACTTGGTATATAAGTCAATTTTCTAACTATTATGAACTATTATGAGCTATTATGAACTAAGGCCTGGGGACTGGCTATGGGGAGCAGAGACCTTGGAATTTCCCCTCAACATTATCCCAGAAGACTATCCTGAGCCTGACAACCAGCTTGGGTTGCCAGATCTTCCTAAGAAGCGTCTCTTCGATCACGATTCGTGTTTCTTGGAGGATCGCATCAAGGCTCTTTGTGACAAGTGTCTTTGAAACTTTGAAAAGGCTTGCCAAAGGCTTGACAAACACATCGCATTTTTGGAAGCCTGCAGGCCTCGCCTACACCAGTCAGGAACCGCCTCAAGCGTCTATGACCATGCGACGACTTCTCGTGCCTTGAGAAGATGGAGGAGACCAGAAGCCATCGCAGTCTTAGCGCGTCGTTGAACGTTGGCCACACAACGCAACCACAAAGACTGACAAGTTCAAAACCTCAAAATTAGTGAAAGCCCTTACAGGTTAAGCCCAAAGAGATTGAGCTCTATATACCATAAGCTCTATCAGGTTCATGACCAAAACCTATCTCAAATGTAGAGCAAGGCCTTAAAAATGCCAACGCCTCTTACTGTCTAATACACTTGGTTACAGTTCCATTATCTTGGTCAACCGCCAACACAACAACTTGTGAACACTGCGCATGTCCACTGGCTTATCATTTGCAAGCTGATTCCTTGTTGTACTTAGTAGGACACTAGAGGTGAGGTCCACTATTGCTAGGTTTGTCACATGTGTCCTACCCTGACCTCAACCTGAAGATCTTCAATCATGCAACTGCCAGACATGCTGCCATGTTCGGAAAGGAAACGTGAATGAAACTAGTTACTAGTTGTTGGAGAACTGTTGCCATTTTCTTATGTCCTTTGCTCCTCTTGTAGCACATGTTCTCCCTGCTGATGTGTTCCCAAAGAGATGGTCAATGAGGCAGGTGGTGGATATTGATTCATCGGAAAGCGCGAAACAGACACAGGCGACCAAGCAACAAGCAAACCATTGAATCATATGACATGTCATACGATCAAACCAATCAACGAGGCAACAAAAAATCAAAGAAACACGGAAGATCAACAACACTTCCCAAAAGAACAGGTAGAAAGTCTCAGAGTGAACAATACGTCATCCTTCCCTCACTTCAACTCACTCATGCCCTGAGGAGCAACGTGATGTGGATCTTTCTGATGCATTGGGCCGCCTGCTGCAACCTGTTCAGCATGAGGATGCAGGCACGATTGAGGATAACTCAAAAGTGGCAGGAGAAGGTACTCCACCTCTGGGTGGTGACCAAGGGATAGACGCGGCAGGCCACGGCCTTGAGGCAAGCGCCTTGTTGGATCAAGAGTGCTACACCGAGAGTGGGAATGCAAAGGAGGAACATGGCCACAATTGCCACAAGAAGGTTGAGGTGAAGAGTGCAGACCGCATCAACACGATTGAGCCAAGTGAGAAGCACAGTGTGAT